TGGTGGTGGTTTTACATTTAAACTAAAATTTAATGATAATCAAAAACCACATTCATTATTTATATCTGGTTCGGAAACAAGTGAAGGGAAAATACGTTTTGATTGGACCAGAAATTTAGGAAATAATAATACTATTTATATATTGCAAACAGCATTTACAAGAGGTCGTTTTGCTGGTCAAGCAATAAAAATAACATCAATGAAAATTGGTTATGAAAATAAACCAATTGTACAATTACCACATTCGGTATGTTTTTTCTATTTGGTTTACTTTTAATTGAGTTTTAATCTTGGTTTTCTTGTTGATTAGTGCCAAAGATTTTCAAAAAATAAAATTTTAAATTATGTTGAAATTGGTGGCTGGGGTGATCCACCTGGTTTTCATACATGGGATATGACAGTTTCAACGGAAATTTGTAGCCATGCTTTTTGTAAGTTTTTTTACGGTTTTTTGTTTGCAAAAAATAATTCTTTTTTCCTATTCCTAGATGATAAACCAATACCAATATTTTGTCCAAATATTGGCATACGTTTACATATTGATGATTCAAATGCACCTGACCAGTATATTGAATTTACTTATCGACCAATATCCGAACAATTTTATAATTCATTAATGAAAAGACCAGTAAAATTGGTTTGTCCAAAAATACCATCAGATTTTTGGATTTCAATTCCAATACGATTAGATTCTACAGGTAAAATAAATATTTTATGTATTTTGTTGATATTAAATATTTTTCAAATCAAGTTTGTCAACAATCAATTCAAGAACCGGGATATTTTGTTGTTGATATTTCAACAGAAAATAGTCGAAAAGATTGTTCAATCTTTATTCAAGCACCAGCAAGTTTTACAATTGAAATTGAAGTGGATTATCTAAATTTAGGTGATAAATCAACTTTTCTTACAGCACTAAGCCTAAAATAATTAAATCAACTACCAACCATAATACTACAAGAATTTATACCAAATGCATTCGATCATAAAGAAGCACCGGGAAATCGAATGCTAAAAATATGTGATGAAGAAACATTTAATTTTCTTAAAAATAGAGGAAAAAGAATATATCGTACATCACAAAACGTTGGACAAATTTATTATCATCTTTCCATAATAGGACCAGAATTTGCATTTAAAATAAGGTTTTTATTCAATAAAGAACCATGTAATATAATCTATACTATGGATAATATTCTGGATGAATCCACTTATTTAACACGTAATTATCGTCAATCAAGAATATGTGCAACATATTTTGTTCAACAATCATGGAATCAAACAGAAAAATTATATGGCATATTAGTAAATGTATTAAGTTATGATATTGGTGGAAAAGCTGATCGAAATAATGAACAAGATCTGATGCAACATACAACAAAAGCCTGTGCAAATCGTTTAACAAATGATTGGGTTGAATTAGGTGGTGGTGTTATGTTTGGTATATCTTCGATAATGCATCCAGATGATTTTCAAATTTGTAACCAGGCGCCAATCAAAACATTTCCATTTAGTTTGATTGTACGTTGTCAAAATATTGCTATGCGTTTAATATCCTTATTATCTTATCGTTCGAATAATTTTATTCAATTTTCTATTAAAAAAATTACAAAAGAAATGGGAAAAGAATCATTACCAACAGATAATATTAAAGAAATTACCTGTTTTAATAAACCAAAACATTGGGTTTATAATCAAATGGCATTCGATCCAGATCGTAAGTATAAAATACGATTTTATCAATCTAATTTTTGTAATCAAAATTCGTATTTTTTTCCTTTGATTGAATGATTGGGTTAAATAGATTGTGTGGAACAATTAGTTTAAATACTTCCAAATATACCTAACTTACGTTACCTAAGTTGGCAGTTATTTCTAAGTTCAATAATAATTGTTGCAAATTCAACAGAAATTATCGAAATTACTGTCGATGATTATGATATGGATTGTGATGAACATGAATCATATTTAAAATTTTTTGATGGTTGGATACATAATAATAATGAAATATGGCCAAATGAAGCAGATCATAAGAAAAAACGACGTGAAAATCGTTATGAATCATTTTGTAATCAAAAAGATAAACCAATCCGATCACAACAGAATATTGTACAAATTTTTTATCGTATCAAACAAAGCGGTAGGGGATTTCGTTTACGTGCCAAATTTATCGAAACTCCTGAACGTAAGTTTCGTGAGAAAAATTTTTTTGAAAAAAAGTAAAAAATGAAAAATTTTTCTATAAAAAATAGCCTGCAATCGAATTATACGTGCACGTGATCGTACAGTAATCGGACAAACATATATAATGGAAACAGTAAGATCATCCAGAGTTTGTACAATACTTATTGTTGATTTTCCATGGGATAAACAATCACTTACTGGTATGGTATTTCAAATAATTGATTTACAAGTAAAAGATCAAATTAATACTTGTTTAGCTAATAAAACTATGGTAAGTTAATGGTGTTGAAATAGTGGCGATGCTCATCATTTTTTTTTTGTTTCCTTTTTTGTTTACAAAAGTGTTCAACAAAACAAAGTAAAGATTATATAAAATTTTATGGTGATAATCGAATTGATTTTTCCAGTTTATTAATGAAAAAAGGTTTTGAATTTTGTTTTGATTCAGACGAATATCCGAGTAAGTAATTACATATTTAGTGAAAAAACAAAAATCAAATTCTAATTCCAATTTTCATTTTCAATCAAAAATTTACAGTGCAATATTTAGTTAGATATTGTCGTAATATGGCTGTACGTATGATATCAAGTGGACAATTTATAAATCATTTAGAATTTAAATTAAAACCAATACGTAGTGTACAATCATCACCGACAATGCCATTCGGCGAACATATACCATATTATCGTTTATGTCAACGACCTAAATGGACAAAACCAAAATTAAAAAAACGATCAATTACGAAAAAAGGTTTATTATTTTTTCTTAAAGCTGATAAAGATATTCGAAAAGGTGTACGAATAACAACAACACAAGAAATAAGAGAAGATTTATATAAAATTTTTATTAGATTTCATGGTTAAAAAAATCAATTCCTTGTTTCTTTTTTGATAATGGTGATAAAATAATTTTCATTTTCTTCTTAATTTTGATTTTATTAAAAAAAAAAATTTAATTCAATTTTTTGTAATTAATTTGAAATTAGTAGTGGAAAAATTTTCGCCAAAATAAAAACGATATTTAATTGATGAAAATTGAATCAAATTTTTTTTTTTGAATTTCATATAAAAACTTTATAAAAACTAAGTTTTTTGTTTGTTTTTTTTGAATTGAATTTTGGTGTGTTTTTTTTTTGTCAGTTTTTTTTCATTCATAAATAATTTTTCAATCACAATTTAAAACATGATACAGAATCGATGGACATTGATGATAATGATAATCATCATCTTTGATACTTATGTTGAATATGCATTAACAAATGATGATAAAAAATTATTAACTATTATTGGACCAGAAGATGGATTGATTGAATTAAGTACATCAGGTACCTATTCGGTTTATGTATCAAATGAAATGTTCGATACAAAATGTATAATATATTTAATTGCACCGATTGATAAAACAATGACAGTCGAATTGATTGAAAATGATGATATTCATCCATGCGCACGTGGTAGTTATATTGTTACGTTTGATGGTTGGTCATATTATGATCAAACATATCCAGCGGCTGATAATCCTGGAAATGATCGTGCAAAAGAATTTTGTAATAATGGTGTTTCAACAACATTCATTAATAATGCCGGTATGATAATGTATCGTTTTAAATTTGGTGGTGGTTTTACATTCAGATTAAAATTTAATGATAATCAAAAACCACATTCAATATTTATATCTGGTTCGGAAACAAGTGAAGGAAAAATACGTTTTAATTGGACCAGAAATTTAGGAAATAAAAATACTATTTATATATTGCAAACAGCATTGACAAGAGGTCGTTTTGTTGGTCAATCAATAAAAGTAACATCAATGAAAATTGGTTATAAAAATAAACCAATTGTACAATTACCATATTCGGTATAGTAGCGCCACTTTATTTAATTCATTCATTCATGTAATTTTTGATTTTTCTATTTGGTTTTCTTGTTTTTTTTTTTTTTTTTTTTTTTTTTTTTTTTTTTTTTTTTTTGTAAT